ATTAAAATAAACTGCACAGGAATGCAGCAAAATATCATTTGAACACAATTTGCAGAAAACATCAAAATTGTCATAACTAATCCTATGCTGAAGCAAAGAGGAAGGCTAGTTAAACTGTGGAGCCTTTCCAGCCCTGTTTTCCATGAGTCAATGCAATAGGTTTGTTGTTTTGTTTTTTTTTTAATATGGGTGTAGTCAGGCTTATAAAATATATATTCACATTGTATTATGATCATTGATACTTGAAAATGCTAATGGCAAATGCTTTCTCAGGTTGTTTTCAAAGTATGGGCAGCAACCTAGCAAAATTTGTACACGCAGAAATTACTGGTCTCAGTGAAACTGATAACTCAGGTCTTAAAATATGACAGCAAGTACGTACAGGATAATCTCCAGTCTCAGCACTGGCATAGAGCATTTCTAGTTTCAAAACAGCATACTTTGCATGGGAGCAAATTAGTTTTTAATGGACCAAATTTAACACTCATCTTTATATGCCAGTTATTCTAGTCTTTGGCCTATAATGGTTTATAGTTAACAAATTTGAACTGAAAAGAAAGCATACCTGGATATCTTCATCATTTGATGCATTAAATTTGTCTCTTGGTTGCGGAATGGGAGAAAATATGCTTTTGAAACTGCAGTACCTTTGGATAGAATATGGGATCATAAATTAAAAATACTGGTAATATAACTTACACAAACATTTTGTATTATACCTTAAGGGCATTTTTACTTTCAAGATTGAATAGCTATTGCTTTACAAATCACTAAGTGAGAAGGAAAATGTTTTGAGTGTAGACTGCTGGGTAACTATTATTACACTTATCACTTGGGTAACTAAAACTTATTTTGTGACGACAGTCATAGTAAATACTTTATTAAACAATAACTTCCAATGAATCACATGACAGGTGGATTGAGAACTGGCTGAATGGCAGAGCTCGAGGTTGTGATCAGTGGCAAAGAGTCCAGTTGGAGGCCTGTAACTCGCAGTGTCCCCCAGAGGTCAGTACTGGGTCCAGTCTTGTTCAACATATTCATCAACAACATGGATGAGGGGACAGAGTGTACCCTCAGCAAGTTTGCTGATGACACAAAACTGGAAGGAGTGGCTGACACACCAGAAGGCTGTGCCACAATTCAGTGAGACCTGGACAGGCTAGAGAGTGTTGGGTGGAGAGGAACATAATGAAATTCAGTAAGGGCAAGTGTAGGGTCCTGCACCTGGGGAGGAATAGCCCCATACACCGGTACAGGTTAGGTGCGGACCTGCTGGAAAGCAGCTCTGCAGAGGGATACCCAGGAGTCCTGGTAGACAACAAGTTGACCACGAGTCAGCAAAGTGCCCTTGTGGCCAAGAAGATCAATGAGGTGGATTAAAAAGAATGTGGCCAGCAAGTCAAGGGAGGTCATCTTCCCCCTCTACTCTGCCCTGGTGAGGCAGCATCTGGAGTACTGTGCCCAGTTCTGGGCTCCCCAGTTCAAGAAAGACAAGGAACTACTGGAGAGAGTCCAGCGGAGGGCTGCAAAGATGATCAAGGGACTGGAACATCTCTCTTATGAGGAAAGGTTGAGACCTGTGTCTTTTTAATCTGGAGAAAAGAAGACTGAGAGGGGATCTCATCAATGCTTATAAATATTTAAAGGATGGGTGTCAAGAGGATGGGGTCAGACTCTTTTCAGTTGTGCCCAGCAACAGAACAAGGGGAAACAGGCACAAACTGTAACACAGGAAATTCCATCTCACAGTGAGGAAAAAATTCTTTACTTTGAGGGTGGCAGAGCACTGGAACAGGCTGCCCAGAGAGGTTGTGGAAACTCCTTCTCTGGAGGTATTCAAAACCCACCTGGATGCATTCCTGGCCAACTTGCTCTAGGTGAACCTGTTTTGGCAGGGGGGTTGGACTAGATGATTTTTGAAGGTCTTTTCCAACCCCTACCATTCTGTGATTCCAAGATAACTTTTTTCCACTATCAAGTGAGAAGTTTTATCAAAATAATGACACGTTCCTCCGTCCTCATTTCCTCTTGTCTGGTACTGTATGAAGCCAATGACTTCAAAGTGATGTGTGTTAAATGCTTAAAACTAAGACCAGATTTTTTTTTTTAAGCTCTGGTAGAATCAATCACTTACTGACATCCTTTCCCCCTTTTTCACTTCTAGTCATTTTGCATGTCAAAGTGGCATCCACATCAATACTGGTAATCATACTTCATGACATTGATAATCGGATTATTTAAGTTTGTAGATAAGAAGGTAGAAGATGGGAGGAATGTGTTTCATAGAAATAATATTGTATCAGTAGTTTCTACATCAAGAGGGTTGATTTACCTTTTGAAAAGAAAATATGGGAGCAGTATCACTGAGATTGTTCCAAGTGCTATCAGAAATAAAAACACAAAGGGATCTTTCCCTTCACCTGAAACATCCAAGAGAGAGAAATATCTTAGCATGCCAAAAAGCTACCTTTGTGACTATTAGTAATGAATACAAATTTCACCTAATATTTCAAATAATCTGAAGGACTTCAATTTGACTTCTTGGAGAACTATGTCAAAAAGTTCAGATACAGTTGATGCATTTTAAAACATTTAGAAAATTTAAAATGTAGAGAATTAAAAAAAAAAATAATCCAGAGAAGTAGAAGGAGATACAGTGTCATAGAATGAAAAATAGAGTAAAAGTGGTGCAACTGTAAAAAGATGGTTGAGGAAAGGGGGAAAAGGAAGATGTGGAAGGAAGAGGATTATATTCATGGCAAAAGCTTAAAGAACTGAAAGGCAGCCTCAGTACTCCAGACTGAAGACAAGACTGGATCTGTCTCAACCGGTTCCTGTAGCCCTGGCACCTGAGAAACTGCTGCCTTCACAATCCCAGCTAGTCAAAGGCTGCTATCAGCCTCTGTGGCCATAGTACTTAGACATCTCCACATGAATAACGTCCACCTGGTTCCTTCCATGTCATAGGGTAAGAATTAAGATTTTATTCACATCTGTGAGTGTGAGGGAGAAAACGAGGCAAACGTGGTAATACTAAAGAAAAAAAAAAGTATATATTAAAATAATATTTCACAGTCTTACCAAACTCAATGGGTTCACTCCATTCCCCCCAGTTTGGGCTTATGTCACAGTTTTTTCCACGTGCTCTGATTTTCAGAATGTATTTTTTTTTCTCATTGTAATTTTGGAATTCGTATCTGTTGTTCCTTACCTAAAATCAAAGCAAGCAGTGCATTTCACCCTATAAGCAAATATTAATGGAATTTGGGGTTTAATTTCCTGACACAGTTTCTTTCTACAAAAGACTAATTTGTATGATTTTTATGTATGTACTATTTAAATGTTCGTCTCCCCAGATTTGAAATGGTGATAAATTAGTTCATCCTGCCATCGAGTCTTTCTGTTTTTTTTTAAGTTTAAAGTTGGATTTTGAAGTGTATTGGGTCCTTAATTTATTTTACTATGCTTCAAGGACACTTTTTATGGATCTTAAAAAAAACCAGGATAGAAAGCTGAAACTGGAGAAGTACCCTGTAAATTCAGCTTACAACCTTTACAGGGTTTAATCATGCAAATATTCCTTGGATGGTGTCTGTCTCTGCTAAACAGTCTTAGTGTTTTTACGACAATCCAATAACAGATATGTATCATCTGGCCTCATGATACTTTATACAAAGTCTGGAATCTGCCAAGCCTAAGATGCTTGCAGGGCCGAGAAGACCACTTATGTCAGGGGAAGCCTGACAGTGTGTATTGGAATCTCAATTAACTTCACCAGGTTTTGAAGACCTTGGCATTCTCTCTGTCTAGCTATACTTAAATACAGTGGCATTTTCCACCCATAGATATGAGAAAGAGAATGTTGCCAATTTTTATTAAGCAAAATGCCACATTTGTTTTAAGCAAAATCTACTTGTGCGATAAATGGAAAGTATGAAGTTTCATGAAATGCATGATAAATTCTGCCTAGTGTAAGCTACGCCATCCAAAAGAGATGTATTAATTTTACACATAAAGATACCACAGGAACATATTTTCATGAATTCTCATTGATATATTAATACAAAAAACTATAGTTCTAGAAGTAATTATGTAATGGTATTTATATGCTTAAGTGGGCAAAAGCACAAATTTGTATAGGACAAGAATACTTACTCTTACAGGTAGATCGTTTTCCTCTTCTTTGGGTTTATCCTGCAGACAAAAGACAAATCTTAATTTTTATTATTTTCTTGTCAAATAATGAAATATTTCTCCCTCTTGTGTTCTCATTTTCATGCTTAGAAAGATAAAAAGTAATTTTAAACTGAAAAATCAATTGGATATTCTGCTCCAGTAATGTTCCAGAATATAGCACGTTATGCAGAGTTTTGGCTTCCTCAATTTCCTTTTAGAAAAGGAAGGAAACATGAATTATTTATCAGTGGTTGTGAGAAGCTGTATTTGCCTCTAAGGGCATATTTACACTGTGCATTCTCTGTTAGACATCTGAGTGATCCATACTCAGAGGCTTTCCCCAAAGTATGTGAAGAGCTACTTGCACATCCCATGTGATCAAAATTTAATTAGCTAGAATCAAGCATTGACCTAGATCAAAGAACCTGAAAATTCTGAAAAAAGGATAGGTTCAAAAATGAGTGAACAAAATCAATGGCAGTGATTTTAGCAAGCATCCCAGAAAACATTGAAAGGCTGAGGTCCTGGAAATATCTATCACATGTAATGTCAGAAGGATAGCTGGCATTATGGAAAAATCAGAACGATGTTATTGGAAGGAGTGTCTCATTTCAGAAAATACATCCACCGTGTATGTTGCATTAGAAAACAGACTACTATTCCCCCATTATTCATTGTCAGCTGAGCTCTTTCAACTCAGGACATGATGGAAGTCATCAGCCTGTGCTGTGAACAGGGAGGGTGCAAATGAGTTGCTGAAAATTTAGGTGTACAGTGCCATTTTAGCTCCTCTAGTATATCCTGCCTTACCACTGACAGCCTCTACCGAAAGGTGGGAGTTATATCTGCCATCTCCATGTAGATACCTCTGGTACCTGCAGTACCTATAGCACCTTAAGGGGCATGAGGCACCTTCTGCTCAGCTGCACGGAGCCGTAGATATGCCTTGGCTGTTTTGGAATATCCATGCTCCTTTGCAGACACCTACATTAGTGCCTTATTTTGTGAGATGAATTTCATGCACAAATATAGGAATCTACTGATCCCCACCTATTCTGATTGCTGCACAGGAAAGAAGAGTTAACATATATTTGTTCAAAAGAAAAGTTTTGGAAATATTGTTTTAGTCATATGTTGTAATCTATATCTTTATGTAAAAAAATTCAAGTATTTCACACAAGATCTTACAGTCAAATCATAGCAGCTGACTGGAAAGCTACGTGTACTGCAATTGCTCCTTCAAATAGCTACCAAGGTAGATACCATTAATGCATGCAAGACACAAAATCCAGACAATCCAAATAGCATGCAAGCTGCAGGCCTTGTTTTGAATGAATTAATGAGTGTTAATGATGTATTGCTTTGTTGCAGTTGTGTATTTTTGTTTAGCCCTTAGTTGAGCTTTCCTGAAATGGTCTTGTGTTAAAAACAGCTGAGGAATTGCCGCTACAGTAAGCTTCTGACCTGTGGCTGGGAAAGGGGATGTGTACGCAGCCCTAATTTGGCACGGTACAGACGTTATCCACATGTGGAGATCACATAATGGTGGAACAGGTATCCCAGGGATGGGGAGGAAGAGTGCTTTTTCTTGCCTTCTCGTCAAACTCATGGGCTCCAAGAATTTTGCTGCCCTTTGTCCTTAGGGGTGTTAAAATCAGGTCCTTTAGGCACTGAGATTTGTAGAGGAGGATTTGATCAGCTATAGTAAATTGACATGCTCTGTCTTGTCCTGCACTTTTCCTGTAGTCACTATGGTAAATCGGTAGTGCTCTGCCTATAGCGTAGGAAAAATCCCTGCTCGCTTTTGGTACATACATGTTTACATCTGAGGTAGCCATCTTTCGTTCCTCTCTTATAGCCAATGGAAAGAAAGAAGGACTTTAAAGCATGATTCGTCTGTCATGAACCTTGGAAGGAGATGGGTAACACCACATCTGACTGCAGAGAGAGTAGCGGGTAACCCACTGAAAAGCAAATGCATCCATTGCGGACATCTACCCTGGGCCTGTGTGAACTTTCTCCTGAGTTGCTGGTATCTAATTTTTCAGAGGGGTGGTTTCTATTTCAGCACCTGTTTCAAAACAGGTTTTGGTGGATATCGTGTAGACAGGTGGGGGTCGGGCTGGCTCAACCAGGCTCCAGGGGAAGAAGGACAGCATCTGAGGGAAGGCTGCCAAAGGGCAACAAACAGAAAGGTGGTGGAGGAGAGGTGTGGAGGCCAGGGGGTGGCAAAACAGTCCCACATGTTGAAATTGAGGGGCAGCTGTGAGCTTTCCGGCATCTGCAAAATCCCCTCAGATGTGGCTGAAGCTGAGGTGCCCAGGGAAGCAGGGTAAGGGTGAGCAGTCCTGGGATGGACTGGAGGTTGCCACCAAGGCAGCACCCTGGTTGCAGATCACAGGCTGCCATCACGTGGTCGTCTCTTGTGAGACATGCTCATGCAGGAAAACTTCTCATGTGCTCTCCCAGTCTTGGGACAGAGACCCCTCATAATATTTCCCTGCTCTCCTCTGCTTTTCTGCTTTGCACCTCTGATATTAGTTTAAAGTCATGAGTGGTGGGATATGAGACCAGTAGAACTGGAGCAGAAGTACACAACAACTTATGAGAGAGAAGTTAATAAATAAAGGAAACAGAAGTTTTCACATCATAAATATGCATGTAGGTAGGTGCAATGCCAAATACAAACCAAGAATTTTTTTTACCTTGTTTCGTATGCTAATTTCATACTCAAAACAATCTCCTTTTCGCAAATGACTTGTAAGGGGTGTTTGCCATGTAATTACGCAACTCGATGAATCTCTAGTATAATTGACAGCAACATTTAATGGAGGAGTGAGTATTTCTGGAAAGAGATTAAGTGGTTAATGTAGACGTGGTCAGTAATCAGCTACAACTCGTGTTCATTGCTAAATACATGTGAAGTTAAGGCAACTGATGTACAACTGTGTGCTACTGATGTTAACAAACGTTACCTGTTAAACAGGAGTAAAATACAGTAGGAAAACTTGGGAATGTATCACTTCAGTTGTTGGACATCTGAAGTAACTGAAGGTCATGTAAAAAAAGTATGAAGGATTTTGTGTAATCAGTAACGCAATCAGCAGAGTGCCATTTTCTTCTCTGTCTAAATTTCACATTGACAACGCAAGTCTCCATAGGAAAAAAGACGGACGTTTCTGTGCATGCGGTGGTACTCAGGTAGTAGATTAAGTTGTCTGAATCTCAGTGCCTACAACGTAGTTGACTAGGTGTGACTTAAGAGTCTAACCACTAGAGTCAGCAGAGACCTCACCGGTAGCGCCCGTGATGCCTGCAAAGCCGTTTGGTGTACCACAGAGCAGGCGTGCTCAGCCAAAGAGCTCTGAGCTTTACAGCCATGGGCTGCAAGCAGGGGTCAGTCTCACGCTGCGCATTGCAGACACCATAGGACACCCAGGAGGACCCTGGTCTCTCACAGGTGCTGGGCCACCCCTTGTGGATGCCTCAAGTGTCTGAGGGTGTTTCAAATGGCACTAATAATGCATATCTTTAGGCAGCTGAATCCTGTCCTGGATCTCTAGCAGAGCTTAGATGCCTAGCTCGCACATAGGTACTCACAGATTTAAATAACACAGTCTAAATTTGCAAGTTGAAGCCTCCCTTTGGTTTTTTGGACATATAGCTTTTGTGGCTCCCAGGCATGGAATTATGGGATGGAGAAACGATCCCATGAGAAAAGTGGCCTTGAAAGTCTAACCATTGTTTTTCATCACTTGGATTCCATGGATATGTTCACCGCACTTCTTCAAGCTGTTATTTCAGGCTGCTTCTGCCTTTGCTTGTTTTAATTAAGTTTTGGAACTATAGTCTGTCAGCTATCAGGAGCAAAGTCTGTCCTGCAGTGTAGGATCCTGTCCTGGCTACAGACTTTGTTTTATAATTTTTTTCTCTTCAGAGAAAATTTCCCCACTTCCTTATTTTATAAAACAATAATAAAATAAAAATGTTCATTTACCTACCAATTTTATACAGTTGAATGTACTCATCATAGAACTGGATCAGGGCGTCTTTGCTAGACCCGTTCACCAAGAAGTAAGCTTTTTCAGTTGCTATCTTCACATTTTGGAATCTGCATCCCGTGTTTCTGCCATTTTCATCTTTAATGTAAAGCTCACATTCCATTGCATCATCATATCTGTATACAGCAAGGTATTTTAGTTAAATGTGGGCAGTGGATATGTCAAATGAGAATTCAGACTTCCCTAGGCTCAAGCAAACCTACTTACATCGAGTTCTGCCAGTAGAGAAAATAGTGGGTATCTCCTGGAGCATCCCTGCCTGCCTGCCAAGTGCAGTTCATGAGGGAAATGTTATAAATCACACAGGAGAAATTTTCAATGGCCGACCCTTTCATGCCTGCAAACACAGGAATATCCACAATGAGGAAAAATGGTGTGACTGTTTCATTCTGGAGGATCATAGAACATGCTTAGATATGTTAGATACCTGCAACTCCAGCTGGTTATTGGTTGGGTTAGGCATGACAACTGAGAGAAAGCTGGACATTCCCTATTTTGACTGCCTCTGAACTGTGAAACCTGGGACTGAACAGAGCATTCACACAGGTAAAGCAAGGCACACGGCCTTTTAACACCATCCTTGGTGCTACAGAAAGAAGTATTTCTCCTTTTAAAATTAATGCTCAGGAATCCACTCCTGGATTGCTTACACACAGTGTTTAAAAAGTTGGGGCTTTTAAAAGTAAGGGGGGGCCCTCTGATCAAATGACCTCCTGGCTAGATCTTTCCACCCTGACGTGGATGACAGAGATTTGATCTGTTCCTTTTCTGGAGCACATGGAACCACAGAATGGTTTATATTGGAAGGGACCTTAAAAATCATCTAGTTCCAACCTCCCCGCCATGGGCAGGGATACCTTCCACTAGGCCAGGTTACTCAAACCTTGGAGGGACAACCTCATTTCCTCAGAAGCTCCCTTGTGGCTGGGCTGTGCAGGCATGCTCAGCTTCCTTCTTTCTTCTTCAGCCATTCTTCTGCTTCATTCTGTGGTGGGCCCCAACTTCAGCGAAAGGGTGGAGGCTTCCTCTGCTACTGCCTCCAGCCCCCTCCAGCACCCATTATTGAGGGCACCCTTGTGGAAGCAGGGGCAATCCCCTGGGGAACCTGCATGCTTGGAGGCTAGGGCCAGCTAGGGAGGAGCATCAAAAAGAAGCCGTGTGTGCTGGTTTGTATTTTGAGGGTCACCGTGACTGTGTTTCCTCTGTCAGGTCGCCGGGAAGAGGTGAGTAGTGAGCACTTTCTCTACTCAGATATGAGCAAGCTGCTAATCTCATCACGTCTGCCACATCTGAAACATCCCAGTTACGCACAGCTGCAGGAACACTGGCGAGTGGGCAATTTCAGTGGAGAACTCTGAGTTCAAAAGGCAGGGGAAAAAGGGCTGTAAAAACTTCAGGTTTGGAATGATGAACCTAGGATCTGCCTAAATCCCACTTTGATGAACTCCCACATGGGGCAAGCTCAGAATATTTTTGTGAACACTTGCCTCAGCGCAGTGGGTGCACAGCAGCTGAGGGAACCCACAGGAGTGTGTGCATGTGTGCGGGCACGTCCACGCCAGGGCCAGTTTGGGAGATTGCTACATTCAGTTTGCCCCTCGCTGCTTATCACTGGCATTTCCTTTCCTCACACCCTCCCATTTTATGGGTTTCACTGATCCCCCAGACTGTGTCTTTAGCTAGCTCTGTGGTCTGGCTCCTGACAAACTCACCAACAGCCCAGCAGAAAAGCATTGAATAACGAAATGGGTGCCAACATCTTAATTTGTAATGGCCAGAACAGTTATTTGAATCCACCCTTAAATTTAGTGGCATTTTGGAGCCCTAGTATGAAAGAGAATAATGCAATTACCAATACATTTGTAGTAATACGTCTCTTGCAGAACTGAGGAAACATTCATTACAGGGCAAATAATTTTAGCAGATCCGCAAAAAATAATTTTTAATAGAAAATAAAAGTTACCTACTGGTAAGGAATTGTTTTCTAAGTCAATGTTTACCTTTGAAAGATTGCAAATGGAGAAAATCTCACCTAGACCACAGACATTACCTCTACGAATAAAGGTGCAGTTTTTTGAGATGTTTGTGTTTGGCACTTCAATGATGAAGAATACCCCTTTGTGCAGAGGAATGTATCGTTCCACTGGAAACCTGCATCGTGAAATAGTCACCTGAAAAAGAACATGTTGATGTTTTATTTCTGTTTTTCCTTCACTTGTGTTAGATGCTGCTGGCTGTGGAAGTGCAACTCAGAAACTCAGGTTGTAGGGCCAAAATCTTGTGTGTGTATATGTATGTGTTTTAGGTTTAAGAGCTAACTCTCTCCTTTACCACTTGAGGGTGATGAAAAATGGAGCTAAGTGATCAAAAGCATAACTACACAAAAAGCTTTGCAGCTCAGGAGTTGCATGCTACACCAGTGCGCAACTATTAGAGCAGTTAGTACTCCAGTGGCATAACAGAAGATAGTAAATGAGGGAACCACATTGGAATTTAATTAAAGGATTAAGCAAAATAAAAGTCCTCATCTGACCTCCCCAGAAAGGTGTCTATGGCATTATATTTATAATCTTCAATAAAAATGTGATGTGTCTTTCTAATATGTATTTCTAATTAAGGCATCAGCTTTGCCATCTAAATAAACCATCACCATCTCTCTTTCTGTCAAGCTTCCTACTTTTCTCTTTGGATGATGTGGGCTCATGACATAACCTCTGCTACAGACAGGGTCAAATTTACTGGGAAACAAGTGAAGAACTTGAGATAACGAAAACCCATGGTAGTGTTCAGAGAATCCCCTTTTTGTTTGAAGAGGCTCTTGCTCTGTTTCTCTAAATTCTCTAGGAGTCTCACTTAGTCTCACAGCCCCTTTATTCAGCACCTACATCCCTATTCATGATTCAATGTAGCTACAGTCCAAGCTATCGCCTCCTTTCCACTTTGGTGCCAGGACTTCAGTTCTGTGGTATGCACAGGATGCTCCTCCTGCAGCAAATGCACCCTGGAACCGGTGATGATTTTGCACAGCCCTTGACAGATCGAGCTGTAGACTGCAAACAATCACTGATCAGATTTTACCTGCAATGGATTATTTTTTTAAAGTGAAATTGATAAAAGGTAAAAAAAAAAAAAAAAAAAGAAAAAAAAAGAAAAAAGGTGCAATTATTTATCTCAACAAATAGCAAGTTTACCTGATAGGTCGTGTTATCCTTGTTCTTGTCCATGATGGTACAGTTGTACTTAGAGAAATTCTTGCTGCTCTCCCAGGACAGTTCCATTTTTCTCCAGTTCATTTTCACATTTGTAATAGGTGATTCTTGTGCTTCTGCTGAGAGTGTTACAGAATAAACTCAGTAAGGATATGCTATTGTTTTTGTTGAATGTAGAGGATGTTATCTGTCAGACTTAAGATGACAATTGCCAGATTAATTGCAAATATCTCTGATAAATGAAGAATTAAACCCTGTTTCTCAGATTATATCTGCATAAACGTACTTACAACCCGTACACTGGATGTCAGCATGCGAGGGATGAAATAGCATCATACACCACCAAATCATGCAAATGATTCCATGAGTATCAAACATCTTTTCTTCTCTGCAAAAAGACAATGAAGCCTTCAGGGAAAAAAAAAAAAGAAAGAAAGAAAGAAAAAGGAAAAAAGAAAAGAAAGAAAGAAAGAAAAAGGAGAAAAGAAAAAAAGAGAAAAGTGACACCAAAGTGTATTTTGGTTTCTGCAAAGCTTCATTATTTTTTTCATGGGAAGAGTCAAAGGTGCTGTCTAATTCACCCTTAGGAAATAGCCAAGCACAGAGTGTGCTTCAGGACGTCTGGCAGGCACATCTTCTTTGAAAGAACTGAGTAGGCTCACTATGGTCCATTATAACACAGCTCTTTGAGGCAGAGAGGCCACAGACTCTCGGTATGATACATACGCTCACCATATTTGATGCAGAGACCATGACTTAGGATTACCGTTGTTCCACATATCTATCCTAACCCTACCACCAGAAAGTCAGGTTTTCTTGCTTTCTGATCCTGTGAACATCCCTGCAGATTTTCCAATGCAGTGCTCCAGTTTCTGCTGCAAAGTGAGCATTTAGACTGGCTTTCAACCATTTGTTAAAGGCGCCTTTTGGGAGGTGGATGGTTTGGCTTTTGGTTGTGTCAGGGTGTGGATGACTCAGTTCTCCGTGAGTGCTCTGGTAAAGCCAGCATCACCATCAGACATGTTCAGAGCCCATACCTGCTCCTGCCAGCATGTCTTAGGAATGCATGGAAAACGTCCGTGAGATCTGAACTAGGCAAAGCAGGAACAGAAAGGTCTCGATCTCTGTCAGGTTTTAGCAGGAATTAAATGCTGACCTGCTTAACTTTTTTTTCTGGCTGTGGCAAATCTACAGACTTGCTTCAAAGTCTTTTGGGATTGATTTCAAGATTTCATGTAGTAAGGCCTTAATAGCCCTTAAAATAATGTTTAGAGCAATGTCCCAAATCACTTCTTATTCTTTTCCTGGAGGCAAAGATCAAAGCTGACTGTGGACATACTGTTGGTTTTGTATACTTTATTTATCAATTTCAACGCTATTTTCTATCATCTTTACTTCTTTTCTTTTCTGACCACAGATCAGCTAAGAACAGCTTTCCATTCAGAAAAGTACCTTAGGAGCTGGAATTTTAATGGGCCTTTCCAAAGGCCACTTGGTACCCAAGATTCAGCTGCTTTTCCATTGTCCTGAGTATCCCAAATAGCAGCATTTATCTTAAACTTGATGACACTTCAGTCAGTTCCTGACAAACCTGAATGAATTTTTCATTTTATTATTCATGGTCCCTCAGTTTTCACCTCTTTTCACAGAAAACTGAATATACTAAAGAATGCCAGTTGTTAGGTGTAATTTACTGTATCCTACTATTAAATAAGATACTTTTTTTTCTACACTTTCTTTGTTATCATTTGTTTTGTGTCCAGAACTTGTTGAATCTTACTGTGGACATTATTAAACTTTGAGGATGTCCGCTTTGTAATCAAAATATGATGCTAGCTCATAAGAATTATGTCCATAATAATTTTAAACTCGTATAACTGCAGTGATATACAGTTGAACTTGGGCTATAAAATACACTTGAGACGCAAGGAAAAAATTCTGAACCTGCTTAGAGCTATTTTAGAGAATGTGACTCTCAAATCTTCATGTACAGTCCATTTGAACAAAGATTTATATAATTACAGTGCACACTTCTCGGTATTTCTGATCCTCTGCACCTACAACTTTCCTTCTGTAAGTTGTCAGCATTTTCTAGAATGTACTTCTGCCTTTGTGTGTTTTTCAGTCCAGTTTCCTGAAATGAGTTATAGTATATGCTAATGGCCTTTTCAGTGAGGAATGCTACAAAAGACCAGATATTTTTCAGTGTTTCTTTCCCCTCTTGACTTGCCTCCATTATGTCTTGGTAATGAAACAGATTTATTAGCTTAGCTGCGGATTACCTGTGTGGGATGAATTTTAATATTAAGACATCTAAAAGTATCTATAAGTAAGCATTTATGTAAGCATAAGTTGTTTAAGCTCCTGCTACAGTCAATGGAGATAAGGTTGAATTTCATTCACTGCTTCTGGTACACATAAATAATTTCCCACTACTTGTTTTAAAGCCTTTGATTATTGCTATATAGAAGTCTTATTAACCTTTTTAGTATTTTCCTATTTTTTTTTTTAATATTTGATTTTCTGTTTCCCTCAGCTGAGTTTCTTTAGTTTGGAAGTCTTTTTCCCAAAGGCATTTTTTTAAGCAGCAAGCAAACCTTACACCTGGTCAGCTTTCTTTTTCCTGCTTTTTTCTTTTCTTGTCTCTCACATAGCGTACGGATATTGTCTCTGGTGAGGCAGTGTATAGACCATGTGAAGGAGGCTACGCCTCCCCTTGCAGACTGTGTGAGTTTAGGAAAGGGTTGGCACTGCTGCCTGGTTCAACAAGGTAGTTCATGGCTGTGCTTTATTGTGTTGTCCTTCTCTAGCTTATGAAACACTTGGTTCTGGCTGGGTTGGAGTTAACTTTCACCAGAGCAGCCCATATAGTGCTGTACGTTGTAGCTGTAGCTAGAATGGTTTTGATAACACACCAACATTTTGGCTATTGCTGAGCAGTGCTCGCACAGCGTCAAGGCGCTCTCACCAATCTCTCACCCAAAAGCCAGTAGGCTGAGGGTGGGCATAGCCAGGGCAGCTGACCCAGACTGTCCAAAGGGATGTTCCAGACCACATGATGTCATGCTCAACAATGAAAACTGAATGCAGTAAAAGCCAGGACCTCAAGAGATCTTCAAGACATGCAGAAAGATTACAGCTGCCAGCCAGGGAGGCAGATTGCTGCCTGGCTGCTCTAATGCTGGGATAGCGGGCCAACAGTCAGGAATTAGAGGACAGGAAAGCCCAACAGCTGAGATCCCTGACTAGGGACTGGAGAACTGACAGAGGAATTGGAAAAGAGGCAACAATCCATAATCTCTAGAGGTGGCTCCTGTCAAGCCTGTCTCTCCATTCAAGGGAAATTTTTGTGAATTACCAAGGGAAATGGACTACCAGTGAGGAAGGCATCCAGCACCTGAGAGAATTAGCAGTGCCAGAAGTCATCTACAGTGACCTCGGTGACAACCAGGTCTCCAAAGATCTTAATGACATCCTATGTGTGTGTGCCACGTGGAGGAATGTAGTCCAAAATACACCAGTATGATATTCCAATAGCTTGGTAATGATATATTGCCCACATTCAGATACATCACGTGTCAAGAGAGCGTCTTCCTGGCTTCAAAATATTGAAGAAAATCTCTCTCCCTCCTTTTCCCCATGGACCAGCAACTGGGCTGTCATGGACACCACATGGAGTCAGCTCCCTCTGGCCCTGGTCAGAGGGAAGGGAGCCCCAGGTGCATGCCATGTGGCATTTTCCGGTTCTTTCTGCATGACTAGGGGGAAGACATGAGGAAGTGGGATGGTGACCCCACTTTTAAACTGGAAGCCAATGTACGCAAACTGAGGGGGAAAGCAGCTGATAAGAAGGGACCACCTAAGAAGTCTGTCAGCTTAGCTGCTGTTGAGACAGAAGGCGGTGATCAGCAGTCCTCCAGATGCAGAAGGACTGAAATTGCTTCCCTTGATTCTGGTGAATGGACTTCTGGTCTGGCACTGTAAATGTCAGACAGTGAATACTCCAACCAGTAATAGAGGGTCCCTATGTCTGGCCAGGAGGAGGAAAAGGATGACCGGGTTTACTGGACTGTGTGGATTCTATGGCCTGGCACATCAGATCCACAGAAGTATGAGGCTTGGGTAGAGACCAGAGTACAGTATACCCTGATGCCGTCAGGTTATAAGAGCACAGAACCCATCTGGATTTATGGAGCGACAGGGGCATCCCAACAGTTTTCTGTACTGGAGCCTGAGTTGACCTTAGCAGGGTCGAGCGGCAAATGCATCCTACTGTGTTACCACCCAGCAGCCCTGTGTATCCTTGGCACAGGCTACCTCAGGAGAGGGTACTTCAAGGACCCAAAAGGGTATAAATGGGCTTTTGGTGTCACCACCATGAATACAGAAAAGGTTAAACTGCTGCCTACCTCTGTTGTGGACTTCCTGTGGATTGAAGAGCATGTGCCAGTTGCTACCATGATGGTACACTGGTGGCAGTATTGCACCAACCAAGACTCACTGGTTTGAAGCTATAAGCTAATTCAACAACTGGAGAACCAAGGAGTGACCAGCAAGACTCACTCACCCCTTAATAGACCCATACACACAGTGCAGAAGTGACAGAGGGTAGAGGTTAACAGTGGCCTACAATGGCTGCCTTTAACTCCAGTTCATATCCAACATACACATGAAAGCAAACTGTGGCCTGCACTCTGCTGTCACAAGGACTGAGAAAAGAACATGCTTTCATATGGAGGAGTGTCGAATACACCTGGAATCAACTGCCCCAGGAGTGGAAGCACAGTCCTACCATTTGTCATGGACTAATCCAAACCGCAGTGGAACAGGATGATGTCCCTGAGCATCTGCAATACACCAACATCACTGTGTAGGGCACCAAAGCAGAAGAAGTGTTTGAGGAGGGAAAAAGAATAATTCAGATCCTTCTGAAAGCTGGTTTTGCCATAAATAAAGAAGCAAGGTCAAATGACCTGCACAGGGGATCCAGTTCTTGGGAGTAAAATGACAGGTTGAAGATTGACACATCCCCATGGGTGTGATCAATAAGACAGCAGCTATGACTCCACCAGGTAACAAGAAAGAAACACAAGCTTTCCTAGGCCTTGTGGGATTCTGGAGAATGGATATTCTAGGTTATAGTCAGCTTGTGAGCCCTCTCTATCAAGTGATCGGAAAGAAAATCTATTTTGAGTTGGGCTTTTAGCAACAGCAAGCCTTTAAACAGATCAAACAGGAGATAGCTTGTGTGGTAGCTATTGGGCCAGTCTGTACAGAACCAGCTGTACAAAATGTGCTCTAGACTGCAGCTGGGGAGCATGGTGTCACCTGGAGCCTCTGGCAGAAAACAGCAGGTGAAACTCGAGGCTGACCTCCAG